TATGATTTCTTTAACTCTTTTTGAGAAGATGCCAAGAAGGGGACTAGCTTGGTCAAACAGAATGTCTAGTTTCAATTTTTTGAGGACTCTCCATACTGATTTCTGTAGCGGTTGTGCTGGTTTATATTCCCACTGACAGTGTAGAAGGGTTCCTTTTCCCCTGTGCCTCGCCCGCAGTTGTTTGCTTCCTTGATGGTGGCCATTCTTTCTGGGGTAAAATGGAGTCTGTGATGCTTTAACACTCCTCCAAAGCCAGGCAAAACAGCACATGTCTATATCCCAGCACTCTGGGAGGCCGAGGCAGGAGGATAGCAAGGCTGAGCCCAGCCTGGGCAACTTAGTGACTTAGTAACACCCTGTCTCTAAATAAAATATGAAAACAGGCTGGAGGTGAAGCTCAGTACAAAAGCCCTGGGTTCAGGTATAAATAAGTAAAATTCCACCAAGTGGTCTGTATTTTCTGTTTTTAGACACATGAAGGAATATTTTGTCTTTTTCACATCAGAGAGAAAAGAATGTGGACACTCTTACAGAGTTCAGTGTGCCAGTTACCAGGGGCCTGAGCCTTGGCTTGACCACAGGCAGGATGCAGTGAGTGTCTGTGTGCAGAGGGCATGAACACCTGCCTCTAGGTTACTGCTGCTTCTATCACTATTAGCACAGCAGCTACATTTTGCTACCTAGTTTATCTCCTGAACCAGGCTCAGTATGTTTTTTTCCCCTAGTACCAGGAATCAAACTCAGGACCTTGTGCTTCTGAGGCAGGCATGTGTGGGTGCTACTGAGCTAAATCCCCGGCCCAGGATCAGTATGTTTTAAACTGGATTCAACTTGACTGGTGAGCATTATGTACCCAGCTGTGGCCCTAAGAGCAAGTCCGACTCATGGGCCCAGTGATAAGTGTGACAACTACGTTATTTTTTAAAATTCATTAAGTTTATTGGTATATTTTAGGTATACAATATGACATTCATGATTGGGAATTTGTACCTTTATGTGATATTTCTTGGTTCTTTTTCTTCCCCCATTTCCCTGCCCTCCCTTCAACCCGTCGCTATACAAAGACATTACAAGCTATTGTCCGTAGGTTGGCCTTAAAAGTGAGGAGTAGGAATGACCATAATACCTGGCTGAAAGCTTCATGATTCACTAATATGTATAGCACTGGGCAGTCAGGAAACTTACGTTAGCACAGAGTATAATTCTGTTTTTAATTGTTGGTTCCTGCATAACTTGGATGGAGTTCTACTAAATCAGAGCAGAGAGTCATAATAATCTTCAAACACGAAGACCTGCCGCCAAACATGCTGAATCAAGACTTCACACCTTAGTGTATAGGAAATACGGGGCGGGGGGCAACCCATAGCACCAAATGCAGGGACTAAATCTGTGTGTGTGTGTGTGTGTCTGTCTGTGTGTCTGTCTGTGTGTCTGTCTGTCTGTGTGTCTGGGGATTGAACCCAAGGCTTTCACACTTGTAATCTTCAAACACGAAGACCTGCCGCCAAACATGCTGAATCAAGACTTCACACCTTAGTGTATAAGAAATACGGGGCAGGGGGCAACCCATAGCACCAAATGCAGGGACTAAATCTGTGTGTGTGTGTGTGTGTGTGTGTGTGTGTGTCTGTCTGTCTGTCTGTCTGTCTGTGTGTCTGTGTGTCTGGGGATTGAACCCAAGGCTTTCACACTTAGCTACATTTAATTTTTTTTCTTTTAATTTTTTGAGGCAGGGTCTTGCTAAGTTGCCCAGGCTAGGCTTAAATTTGCAATGCTCCTGCCTCAGCCTGCTGGGCTTACAGATGCACACCACCGTGCCTAGCATGACTAATCTTGATTGGATCCTGATTTCGAGAAATAACTGTTGGAGTCTATGCTGGCTGGAATAGCAAAGTACTACACATCAGGCAGCTTACAAACAATAGAAATTTCTCACAGTTTCATGGTTGGGAAATCTAAGTTCAAAGTGCCAGGAGATTTGGTGTCTGGTGAGAGATCTGCTTCCTGGTTCATAGCGGTGTCTTCCTGCTGATCTCACTTGGTAGAAGGGAGGGAAGCAGCCCTCTGGACCTTTATTTATTCATGTATTTATGATTCTGGAGATTGAACCAAAGGTCTCACACCTGCTGGACAAGAGCACTAGCTCTTTTTATTTTTTTTCCTGTGCTGGAGATCAAAACCAGGACCTTGCACTTGTGAGGCAGACATGGTGCCACTGAGTGAAATCCCCGGCCCAGCCCCTTTTATTTTTGAGACAAGTTCTCACTAAGTTGTCCTGCTGGCACTGAATGTGTGGTCCTCCTGCCCCAGCCTCCAGAGGAGCACTGAGGCCCCTTTAATAAAGACACTGATTCTGGCCTGTGTGGTGGGACGTGCTTAAAATCCCAACAGCCGGGAGGCTGAAGCTAGAGGATCGCTGTGAGTTCTAGGACAGCCTGAACTCTCCATAGCGAGACTCATTCCAAAAAATAAAAGTAGGGGGCTGGGGATTTAGCTCAGTGCTTCCAGCGCCTGCCTTGCAATGCAAGGACCAGAGTTCCATCCCTGATGCCATAAATAAATAAATAAATAAATAAATAAATAAATAAAAGAAAGGGCTGGGATTTAGCTCAATGTCCCTGCACCTGCCTCGCACGTGCGAAGGTCCTGAGTTTGATCCCCAGTACCAAAAACAATTTTTTAAAAAATAAACACTCTTATTCTATTCAGGAGGGCTTTTATCTTCATGAGCTAGTCACCTCCCAAAGCCCCCACATCCTAATACCACCCCACTGGGGACTAAAATTATAAAATATGAATCAGATGGGGGCACATTAATATTAGTTCATAACAACAGCTATAAGAACTTCCTTGCTGTATAATAAGTAGGGCTATTTAAATTGGTCTGGGTGTGTGACAAGGCTTGTTTATATGTGACTTGTGTAAGGGAGTGTCCTTGCTCTTAGCAGATACACACTGAAATATTTACAGGTGAAGGGCATGGTGACTGCAAGGTATTTTTAAAAGAACTCAGGAGGAAAAACAATAGGAAATGAGTGTAAGGGTGTTTGTCGCACTCCTTTCTGTATTACTGATGCTTTCCATAATAAAATTTTAGAATATGGGATAACAGTATCATTCGCTTGCTGGGGGTAATGCTTGAAACACTGGGGATGCCCTGTCCCCACCTAGCAAAGACAGGAAGGCGGTAATGCCTAGAAATGCCCTTCCCGTGAAGACCTGCAGGCCCTCTGTTATTCACCTATGAATGAATACACTCTCCCGTTATCTGTTTCAAGTCTGCAACCCTAATTCAAACTGACCTTAAGCTTTTGCCATCTTTCCAAATGCTCTCAACAACAAAGGCTGGTGGTGTTTCTAAGAGCAGGCTGCTCCTGTGCCTGGCGGTAGAGTTGTCGTCCTCGAGAGAGCGTGGTTGGCTATTTGCAGCACTGTGCCATGTTCAAGATGCTATTTGATTATAAAAGGAAATTAATTCTCTCCCAGCCCTGTATGAGGAATGCGCTGTATATTGGCTGCTTTTCCTTAAGGATAAATCTTCCCAGTGATCCATCAGCTACTCTGACATCAGTTTGAGATGCTGTAATCGGTCTGTACAATTGATCCCTTTATCCATCCATCCATTCGCCCACTCAGTCAAGGAGAGTAGTTATGGGGAACAAGGCAGGGAAGAAACCCAACCAGGAAGCATATTTGTGAGGTGACAGGAACTGTGATCATTGAGGGTGTAGGAAGGACAAAATCCACATCGGCCCTCTACAGCAGTTTCTCAAATTTCAATAATTCTCACAAGTCCATGATTTCTGTCATTCTCTGAGGATCATTATCAGCTAGAGGAACATTTATTACTTATTTAATATCCTCCCTTCAATCCATTCCCTTAAATAATTTAAATGCCTACTTTGGCCCCATCCTAAATATTACTATCCATAAAACCAAGGTTTTGATGTGCTAATTATATTTTTCTAAGATATATGAAATGCATAGCTAATTGGCTCATATCTTCAGCAATATGTGTAATTTGTGATACTTAGAATCTACTGCAAATAAGATACATCTAATGATATGTACAGGAAGCAAAAAAAGATTTAGGAGTAAATGGATTAAGATAAAGCATTGGCTGTGTGTGTGAGAACGTATACAACATACACATTTTCATTAACTTATTGTTTTTCCCCTTTTTGTTAAGGCCTTTGTAAGCTGTGAGTTAGCTTTGTACATTAATTATCTAGAGACCAAAAGAATGGATTCAGTGAATATTCTAATTAAAACATGACCAGGAATCTTGAATACTCAGAGATCACACATGTATGAAGATCTAGTGCAAACAGAACCTTTTGGCATAAATGTCAGATAAGTTCCAGAAATTTAAAATAGCAAATATAAGAAGCAATTTAAAACAGTTTTTATAGATAAAGTTTAAGGTCATTTGGTTTTTTTTCTCAGCCCTTTATATGTAAGTCTTAAGAAACAATACTTTGAGGCACGATTGCCTTTCAAATAAATCATCTTGATTTTCTTAGTGAGCTATAGCTCAGTTATTTTCTGTTACTATAACAAAGTTATAAAGAATTGAGGTGCTATGGCTTGGATCCAAAACGTCTCCCAAAGGATTCTGGGTTCAGAGGTGGGGCTGTGGGAGGTGACTGGACTTGTGGGGCACTAAATCTCATCAGTGGGTGAATACACTGATAAGTTGGTGGCTGAGCATGCTGCTACAGTGTAAGTTGGGCCTGGCTGGGGAAGATGGGAAGGTGGGACTGGGCTGTTCCTCTGGAGGGTGTGTGCCTCTCTCTGGCTCTTCCTGTCTCTGCATCTTCGCTGACATGGGATGAGCAGCACTCCTCCACCATACTCTCCTCACATGCTGTTTCCGCCTTGAAGCCAGCCAACCATGGACTGAAAACTGTGAGCTAAAAAAAAAACTTCCCCTTCAACTTGTGGGTATTAGGTATTTTGTCCCAGCAACAGAAAGGTGTGACTGACAAAAGGTTTATTTAGTTTGGGGTTCCAGAGGTTGGGTAGTTCACGAATATGGTGCCAGCGTTTGTCAAAGCACGATGCAGTGTCATCTAATGGCAGAAAGGGGGCTTGGATGAGGGAAAACAATGCATGGCCTCGCTTTACAACAATCCACCATCAAGCTCATTAAACCAGTCCTGCAAGAACTGTACTAATCTTTCTCTGTGACCTCATTACCCATTAAAGTCCTACCGCTGTTTAATGCTATTGCACTGGAAATCAAATTTCATCATGAGTTTCAGAGGAAACAAACCATTTTACAACAATAGTGAGCTACTTTCTTGGCACAGAGCTGGGGGTGTACAAATACTTCTATTTCAAATATACACAGGCTGCTCCTTCAAATATTCTGAGTTTTTTTTCCCCTCATTTACAAAGTATTTTTCACATCCCTAGTTCATTCAGGCATAAGGCTGGGTGCTGGGGATACTGAAAAGTCAAACAGATGTGGTTCTTCTCTTACAGAATAGTATGGGAGATGGGTCTAAATAAATCATTCCCCCCAAAATGAAGTGGCATTTGAGAGTTTGGAGAAGAGAGAACAATCCAAACAAAAGCTCCATCTTGTGGTGGGGCAGGGTGGGAAAACATTAAGCTTCCAAATATTGAAAAAATGCTTGAGTGGCTGAGTCTGGAGACAGTACAAAGGTTGGTCTTTGTCTACAAGGGAATCAATGGGGAACCATGAAAGCACTGGCACATCTCAAAATCAAAGCGAGGGGCTAGAGTGCTTACAGAAACTTGAAAAACTGTACCTATCCAAAATAGAACCATTGTTTTCTTCTCATTTCTCACCTTCCCATACCTGCATATGGTTCATGATTTCCCAACTCACTTTGATTCCACTTTCTAGTACAGTGGTGGTGAACCTATGGCACCCCAGCAAGCTGCTTGGATCACTGAAAGCTCGGAAAGGTTCGCCATTACTGACTGTAGCTCAACCCATCCATTATGTCTCCTTTTCTCTATTTTTCCCAGTACTGGAGATTGAACCCAGGGCCTCTGCACTGAGCCACATGCCCAGCCCCCTTCTGCCTTTGAGACAGAGTCTTGCTGATTTGCCCAAGGTGGGCTCTGTCCAGCTTGTGATCTTCCTGCCTCAACCTCCAAGAGCACCGGGATTACAAGCATGCACACTGCACTCAGCTAAAACTTCCCTCTGTTTATCCTCCTTCCTCCAGATTGAATGTAAGGCCAAGGTCTGTCCAGCCCAGCTCTTAAATATTTTCTCTGTAACCAAGTTGTCCATCTCTGTAATCAAACTAATATAATCGTCTCTCACCTGAACTCTTGTGCTCCTACAATCTGTTCTCCACACAGAGTGAAGTTTTCAAAATGCAAATCCTCTGCCTGAACTCCAGGGATCCAAGGTCAATCTTTTTAGCCAAATCAAGCATGGCAGACCTTTGACTGATTCCGTTGTAAGCAGAGACCCGGTGACTCATTTCTGGTCATTGAAACATGTAAGCTTGTTTCTGGGTTTCTATTCCTGTACCTCCAAAGAAAGGGAAGCATTCTATGCTATAGATACTGGATGTGCCCCATGTGTTACCAGACCCAATAGGCAACTCCACAGCTCAAAGAAAAGTAGCAGTGCTTGACACATATTGCCACCCACGGAAATCTGTCTTTTCATGGGAGAGATTTCCTTGCAATGTAAGCCAAATTGTGTTTTTTGGAGTAAGTGTGCAGCCACGAGTGAATACCCTGATATTGGCATGTGTCTGAGACATCTAGTGCCTAATGGACTAGTAGTTACTTTACCTGAGCTCAGTGTGGTCTGAGCTGGAAAAATATATACAAGAGTTGTTGGTGAAAACTGAAGGTTGGAGAAGGGATGAGATCAGAAAAACTCAGAATGGTGAGCCTGCAGAGGCTGCAAGGAAAGAGGTGCCAAAGGAAACTTTTCCTCCCCTATGGCCAGAGAAAAGGCTCTGGCTTCCCTTCCTTTCCTTCTGGAGCAAAGTTTTTAGTTGAGGAAGGAAACTGGATTTCAGAACGAACCCATGGGATTAGCATCAAGAAAGCCTAGCTTCCTGCCATTTAATAAACAAGTCCTTTACCAGAATCTCAGAGGCAACCAAAAGTGGAATAAATTGGTTAGAAAATACTTCAGAGTGTAAGTTACTGAATTGGACAGCAACGGAAACACAAGTTAACTCCACTGGTGTTCAGGGAAAGTACCGATAGTTGGGTGCAGGGTGGCCAGGGTATTAAGGATTGTGATGTCAGAGACTGGGCGGACATCCCATGGGGAGACACCATTGTAAGAAAAGGCCTGGAGGTATTAAAATCAATGGCACTGTTTACTGTGTTAGGCAGATGGGACTGTGGGAAGGAAGCCAGAATAGTGTGTGTCAAATGTTAAGAGGGAAGCTATTGAGCAGTCAAGAGTCACAAGCGCAGGCTGCTTCTGGTGGCGGAGCCCAGGAGCTACTTCGCCTGGGAAAGGGAGGACAGCAGTTCCTGGCACTCCTCCCGCCCCCATCAAATTCTAAAGATGGGGCTGACACGTTCAGTTTTTAAAGATCTCTGGCCACTCTCGTGCTAAGGGATGACAGTTTAGCTCTGCGGCCCTTAGCTTCCCCACCTCTGATGTGGACACGAGTTTCTCAACCTCACAGGGAGCGTCCTTCCGACCTGACAGCGGCCCTAGCGCTTCCCTTTCCGGCCATAGGGGACCCCGACCCAGCGCCTCGGTCGCCCCAAGCTACGCAGCGGAGGACGGGGTGCAGCCGGCCCCGCCCAGGATCTTCGCGGAGACCAGCCTGGAGTAGGGTGACAACAACCTGCAATCACAGCCCAGAAAGGCAGCCAAGGCAGCGGGCCAGCAAACTCTGGGTGGGTCTCCACGGTGACTGGCGGAAGCAGTGACCAATGGTTGCCCAGCTCTTCTTTGTTTCCTAGAGGCTGACACTTCCTAGACTGAAAGTTCGCCCCGGGTGCTGTTACGTAAGGGGAGGGGTAAGGGGCGGGTCAAGTGCGGTACCACCCGAGCCAAACTGATTTGATTGGCAGAAAGCAGTGGCGTCTCCTCAACGCCTCCGGAAGGACGTCCTTGATGGACAGGTATGGAAGCCACTTGGCGATGGGGGACTGGGCGGAAGTGTCCAGGCCCAGCAGCGTGGGTAGGGGGAGGAGCCCGACACCGAGGGCAGGGCAGGGCTCTCCGGAAGGACGTCCTTGATGGACAGGTATGGAAGCCACTTGGCGATGGGGGACTGGGCGGAAGTGTCCAGGCCCAGCAGCGTGGGTAGGGGGAGGAGCCCGACACCGAGGGCAGGGCAGGGCGGGGCGGGGCAGGGGCCGGGCTGGTGCTACAGCTAGAGATGCTGTCGGATCGCGACGGCGCTAGGCAGCCGGGATTTCTGCATTGAAGACAAGGGGTAAGGCGGACTGTCCAGTCGGCTTGTAGGTGCACGAGGACCGAGGAGTCCACTAGCCCGGGTCGCCAGCGTCCCCCGGCCTGGCATGTGTGTGCCCTCCCCAGCACTCTCAACTCCACAGCGACGGCGGCCAGGGGGCGGGCACCTGTGCGCGTTTGCAGGCACCTGCTGAGCGCGGTCTCGGCCCGCAGTCTTCGGTCCGGGCTGCTGCTAAAGCTGGACCGGGAGGGCCTGAGGGTGGAGGCGGACACAGCCTGCTCGCCCCTTCGGGGTCCGCCCTCCCAGATCCCGGGCCCGGCCCCGGCCCCTACCCCTACCCTAGCTGAGAGGCAACGAGTTCCGAGAGTTTGGACTCCGGCCGAGAGGCTCGGGGCCCTGGTCGGCCTTGAGCCACCTGTGCAGCCAGGACAGGCCTCCACCTCGCATCACCTGTAGACAGGTTTGTCCAGATTCTGCGTGCTGGAGCCGGGTTTCTGCCCCGGGCAAGGGTGCCAGTCCTAGCCTGCTGCTAGTCACGGCTGTGCCCAGCGAGCCTGACCAGGGCTGAAGCTGCGGTCTATTTTCTGAGCTCTGCTCTGTCGCCTCTCGATGTAGAATTTCTTAAGCCCGTTTCAAGCTGATGTATTAACACCGATGGAGGCAGTAAGGCACCTAGGAGGAACAGCAATACCAGCTTCTTATTTGGTCTCTGCCAAGTACAGATCATTCGCACAGGCCCAAGAGAATGATTTAGCTGTCTGATCGGAAAGCAGTCACGTTCTCAGAGCCGAACTAACAAATTCTAAAATTGTATACTAATTATAAGGGTGTTGCCTGTGATTTTCTTCTGTGTCATTCCTGTCAGACCATGTCATACTGTTCCGTTCGCAGACTAGGCATCTAATAAATGGTGTCGCTGACGCCTGTAAAGTGTGCTAGCGTTTGTCGTGATTGTGTTGCTGGTGGAACCATTGATGGGATGGTTAAATCCATCAAAATGCCAGACTGCAGGAAACTGTACCTCTTCTTGAAGATAGGAAGAACTAGAGGCAAGTTTTATTGGATTCGTAAAAACAAAATCATAGAGTAATGACGTAGTAGACTTGAAAGGGACTTCACAGGTAACTGCTCCACCCCAAGACATTTGCAAGTCTAGGAGCACCACCGCATGGGGGTGGGGAGGGTCTTGTTTAATCGGGTATGTCCTAAAGGACAGTGGGGTAAATCAGTGTTGTTGATTTTCACCCAGTCATATTGGGCCAAACAGGAACATGCTCCCATTTTTGATGTCCCAGCTATTTTTCATGTGTCATAGTTGCTTTTAAAGACAGGTTTGCAGAGAGCTGTTGCTAGTTATTGGATAAAAAATCAGCGTGTTTGTGGAAGCACTGGGATCCTCTCTCTTTGGTTCTATTTTAATTAATGGGTGGCGTTTATCTCTTGGAAAGCAAAACAGCAGTAATACGAATATGCACTGGCTGGGTATGATAGACCTGGTACTCCCTGGTGATCTCACATGCAAATCAGAAAGAAAGCAAATGAGTGCTGATGAGCGACGTTTGGTACATGCCTTGCTTCTTAGGAATTTAGAAAAAAAAATGTTGCTTAGTTTTGACCCTTTTCCTGTTCAGCATCTTGACTGGTACAAATAGGAGTTCAGAGGAGCTTTGCTTTAAACACAGCTGAGCCGGAGGGCAGTCACCAGAGCAAAGTTGCTTTTCTTATAGCTGGGTTGGGCTGCTTTTTCCTTTGCTTCTTCATATTTTTAGTAAATGACAGTGACCTTTGAAACATGTTTTCTTATCCACTACTTGAAACCTTGAGTACATGTTTGTGAAATGTCTCCTTTGAACTTCTTACATACATTTGTATCGTTTGGCAATCCTTTAAATGCCCAATCCTGCAGAATTTTCTTATTTTTAGCAGTTTATTCCCCCTTTCTTCCTGACATTGATAAACTTTCCTTTGTTCTTATTTCTCTGGCTAATTATATTTGCTAGAATGAATCTTTTTGTACTTGAGACAACTCAAAATTTGACAATCTTAAATCAGCCGTAGATCTTTATCGTTTGTTCCTTTATCATGGCCAGAGGAACAGTGATAGGACATTTTTAGAGATAAGGACAGTACATTGTGAATCTGGCTCTCCCATTAAACACCTAGATATCAAGCTAGTAACAACTACTGTGGTCTATATCTTCATAATTTTTGGCACTAAAGCTGAACTGTGTCACTAAATATTCTGAAACCTGGCCAGGGACCTAGTGCACAGATTCTTGAAGACATCCAAAGGTGCAAAAGAAATTGGAGCCTACGGGGGAAGTGAATATAGAAGGAAATTATTTCTGAAGCTGCCTAAAGACATATCCTTGGCTCTTGTAACTATATATTATATAATGTTATACTAAATCTTCAGGGTATTAGGTTTCGTTTCTAACCATTTCAGAAGTCTTTTAATTGGTTGGTGTTGGTATATTTGCATTTTCCTATTTTTTTTTAAGGTAAAGTGAATGCTGAGAACAGAAGAATCGGATGACACAGGCCACTGAATTTCTTTGCGTGGAGTACACGTTATGAACCCTTTCTGGAGCATGTCTACAAGCTCTGTACGCAAAGTAGGTATAGTCAGTAAATGTGAGGAAACCTATTTGCTTCTTTGTCAGAAAAGAGGGTCAAACTGAAGGCTAAAATATTGGACACCAGCTAGGCATAGTAATGTACACCTGTAATTCCAGTATTCAAGGAGCTTGAAACAAGAGGATCACAAGTTTTGAGACCAGCATGGGCTATTGAGACTCTGTCTCAGAAAATAAAAAGGGCTAGGGATGTAGCTAAGTGTGAAATCTATAGGTTTAATCTCCTGAACCACAAGGGAAAAAAAAATCTATACCAAGTTCACTTATAATCTTAATAAAATGAGCTAGTTTAGGTTTATATTTTTGAGAAATAATGATTTTATCCATTAAGGTCAGTTTCTAAGGCTGAGATTGTATGGCAAATAGAAAGCATTTGGATATCACAATTTTAAGATTTTTTCATTTAGATTATATTAATACATTCTGAAATTTGTGACATATTGTTATAATAGCTTTTGTTAGGCATTTAGGTCACTGATGCTGCTGTCTGCCTCACAAGCATAAGGTCCCAAGTTCTATTCCCGGTACCAAAAAACAAATAATTTTTGTTAAACTTTAGGATTCAGTGGTTAGAGAAACTTGGAGAAAGCTATGGTCTACTCAGACCTGAGGGGCACTCATTTAATTTTTCTAAATAAAATTTCTTTAAAAATATGTATTTCATCTTAGGAATGCTTTAACTATGCAAACAATAACAAAAATAACCCATAATTCTGCCTGTCAGCGAACACAGTGATTACTTTTTTTCTATACATTTTTATATAGCTTATTAAGTAGGTTGTACTCAAGCTAAGGAAAGTATTGTTAGTTTCTGACTCATTTTGACTTTTTCTTTGACTAAGGATGATAGTTTATGCTGAAGTTGCTCCAAATGTGGAGACATCCATTAAGGACAAGATCAAAATCAGACCCTAGCAAATGAGAATAGTTCATTTCCGTTTTTATCCAGGTGCTGACACCAGGGAGTGACTAATTTCAGTCATCCACAGTATTTACTTTGAACTTACTTAGAGGCTGCCCTTCTACAGCATCTTTAGTGCTTGCCCTTCTATAGGACAAAAGTTTTCTGGTCCTCATTTGTCTAGTAATGCCTTGCCTCTTGATGCCACCAGGAGAAAACATTTCTTCATTTCACTAAATCCCGTAGTTATTGACTGTACTGTCCTGGTAAGATGCTGCTAATGACTTCTCTAATGCTTTTGCCTTGCTTCAGCTTTGTCTGCTTTTCTGTGACCTTTCTACTGGAAAGACTAGAGTCATCTTGCTGGTGGTGTCAGAATGTCCATGTAAAAGAGCAATTCTAGCTTTTAGATTATGGAGCTAATATTGTAATCTTGTTACTGAAAAATTATCCTAACACATTCTCACAACTTCATCTTGAATAGCGTTCTGATGGTGAAGAGAAGACATTAACAGGGGACGTGAAAGCCAGTCCTCCACGAACTGCACCAAAAAAACAGCTGCCTTCTATTCCCAAAAATGCTTTACCCATAACTAAGCCTACATCTCCCGCCCCAGCAGCACAGTCAACAAATGGAACACATGCTTCTTATGGACCCTTCTACCTGGAATATTCTCTGCTCGCAGAATTGTAAGTTCTTACCAGACTACTTTGTTCAGTTATGAATGGTCGTTGAGTTGGAAAATGAAATTTATTCTAACGGACTAGTAAATCAATCTTAAAATTCAAATCTATCCCCCTTGTACTTTCTTGGAGAGCAAGAAGAGGAAGCAACTAAGATTTATAAAAACTTAGTAACTATTTGTGTATGTGTGGTACTGGAAGTTGAACCCAGCGGCTACTAAGCTACATCCTTAGCCCTTTTTGTCATTTTGAAACAGCGTCTCGCTAACTTTGGCCTCCGCTTGCCTCAGAATTGCTATTCTTCCTGCCTCCAGCTGCTGAGAATCTGGAATTACAAGTGTACACTACCATGCCTTTTGCCTTAAGAGGTTTCTGTAGAGGGCAGGCAGTAGCAGTCTTCTTCCTTGCATCCGAGCCATCTTGAAAATTGTATTCCAATTTGGTGATCACCCTGAAGGAGACTGGTCCTGGTAGGGATGTGGAAGACTAATTATCAGCAAATAAAGGAACTGGAACTGCTGCCTTAGAGAAGAGTAAACTTAAGAAGTACTTGTTAGAGCTGTCTTCACAAGGGTGAAGCTCTGTTATTAGAAGGGATTTGACTTATTTTGTATGACTCCCCCAAATGCAGGCTTGGCATTTACAAGGAGTTTGAAGATTTGGGCTCCAAATCCAGATAGGTAAGAACTTGGTTAGTCACTGAAGTTGTGTGTGTCTGCAGAGTGCGAGGAGCTGCATACTTGGGCAGAGTGCTTGGTAGTGATGACACAGCTCTTGGCACATAAAGGGATTCAACTAGCACATGGATTCAGATAGCATTTATTTTGATAATTTGTTAAAAGGACAGAAAATCTGGACAATTCCTGATTTCCATCATTTAAATATCCCTCTGTATGTACAGTTATTTTAAAAGCATCCTTAGTTCTTTCCTCAGAGTACTAATGTGGTAATGGTCTGAAGGTCTGAGGCCCGAGTGTAACGGGCTGGGTGTGATTTGGTAGCAATGGTCTCTCTAGCTTTATAATGGAAGCCTTGTGATTGAGGCTGGACTGTGAGTTGGACAGGCTCCTATTGTGATTAAATCTGCTGGGTATTAGAACACAAAATCGCGTTTTCTGACAAACCTCGTTGTGGTAGATAAATCATCAACCATGCTGCTGCTGACATGCGGAGTTTTAGTGACTTAAAAATGAAATAGATGATTTAGAAAATGATTAAATGTGATAGCAATTAGGTAATAAAAACAATGAACTAGGACCCAATATTACTTCCTGGTACAATTCAAGATTGGCAGGTCTATGCATTTTAAGGCCTCAAGGTTGGATCATAGCTCATAAATACAGTTGCAAAGAGCAGAGCAGAATGGCTGTCAATGGGTCACTAGGGTCCAGGAAAAACCAGTGAAGCCTTTGTTGGTCTGTCTTTCCTTCTTTTCAGCACTCATTCTTTCCCACTTCCTAGCAAGGCCCACAGGGTTCAAGTGTCTGAGTTTGGGATGTTATGTGGGGACAGAGTACACAGTGTGAGAGCTCAAAACGATGCCTGCCTTCACAGTGAAGCCCTGCTCCCCACCATGAGATCCGGTGACTAAAACTCAGGAGGACAATTAAGCGATGGCCAGTCTATGGAATCTTCTTATAGTTACCTAACACTGCATTTTAGAATATTTTAAACTGTTTTTATTTCACATTTTTTTTAATGTACCTTGTTAACAGTATCATTTAATGAAGCTCAAGATATTTTTATTTTATTTATTTTTGGTGGTACTAAGGATCAAACCCATGAGTACTCTGCCACTGAGCTATTTTCCCAGCCCCCTTTTTGTTTTTATTTTGAGGGACAAAAGTTGCCCCGGCAGGACTTGAACTTAAGATCCTTCTGTATCACTTTCCAAAATGCTGGGATTACAGGCATGCACCACTGTGCCTTTTTTTTTTTCTGATGGCGGGGAGAGAACACAAGAGGACAGAGAATTATACAGCAGACGAACCTGGAACTTATTGTGTAATCCAGCCTGGCCATGCACTTGGGATCCTCTTATCCTCCTGCCTTACCCTCCCCAGTAGTGGGATTAATGTGACACTCTCTTCTGCTAATAATATATGTTTAACCAGTAAAATCAGTTTTTGAATGTTTGTGAGACCTATCATCTACAGTCACCAAAAAAACACTAATTTTACAAATACTCTTCATTTACTTCAAATTTATGTCCCATACTTACACCAGGTTGTATTGTTCAGAATACCTACAAACTGTTGTCCACGATGATGTTTTGTGGTTTTTTTTGGGGGGGTACTGGGGATCAAACTCGGGACCTTGCACTTGTGAGGCAGGTGGCGGAACCACTGATCTAAATCCCTGGCCCTGCAAGATGATGTTTTAAGTCTGATTTCTGTGCACTTTACTATTAAATTCTTCGTGTATTCTTCTTCATCTTTTTTAATCTGGGGCCGTGGCTGACTTGTGCATTTCTCTGTGAGCACGGTGATGAAGCCAGTGAGTAGAGTGATGAGGGTGATGCTTAAGAGTTGGGCCAGGTGAGGGACTGATGACTCGACTTACAGGTTTGGGCATCAGCTGCCCAGCGAGGGATGACTCCTTGTCCCAGAAAATGAATGTGGGATGGTTTGGTCCACATGTGTCATTGACATCCATACATGTTAATGATTGTACTGTTTTTATTTCAGTACCTTGGTTGTGAAGCAGAAATTACCTGGAGTCTATGTGCAGCCATCTTATCGCTCTGCATTAAGTAAGTTAAAGATTCAGTCTTAATTAATGGCACGTTCTGTTCCTCTTGCACAAATTGAAGTCTTAACCATGTTTTATTTTTTGCTACAGTGTGGTTTGGAGTAATATTCATGCGGCATGGGCTTTATCAAGATGGTGTGTTCAAGTTTACAGTTTACATCCCTGATAACTATCCAGATGGTGACTGCCCAGTAAGTAGATTTGTCTGGCTTCATTTGTGGGGCTTTGTTCACTGAGGGGAAATTAAAGAGCTTACAGATTTCTTCTATTCTTGACCTAATAGGTTTAATTGTTTTGGTTTCCCAAAACATTTGTCTTCCCAATAGTCTTTCAAAGAATTCTGGTGTTTTATTTTCTGTCAAGCTACCTTCTGCCTGTAGCTAGCTTTTTTTTCTGTTCAGGGTATACAGGTGAGGCTGAAAGCTCTAATGCAGCACTTCCTGTAGGAAAGGTGATGGGTGTGTTCTAGTAGAAATTGAGTAACCTTTTCCCTCTCGTTGAAAAATTTAGTGTTAACAGGAAAATTATAAAAGTTGTTAAGTAGCCATCTTGTGGCAGTTCTTGTGACCAGTCAACATGACTGCTGTGTTACCCTGAAGTTCCTTTTATGACTATGGGTCTAATAAGCTCCACTGCTCTCTTTAAAGTACATGTCTTTCTTTAAATATAGCGCTTGGTGTTTGATATTCCCGTCTTTCACCCGCTAGTTGACCCCACCTCAGGTGAACTGGATGTGAAAAGAGCATTTGCAAAATGGAGGTTAGTAAGGTGGTTCTTCTTATTGTGACATAAGATGGCAAGAACAAACCTCCGTACTCATCCTGTGTTTTCCTTTAGGCGGAACCATAACCATATTTGGCAAGTATTAATGTATGCACGGAGAGTTTTCTACAAGATTGATACAGCAAGCCCCCTAAATCCAGAGGCTGCAGTACTGTATGTACCTTTTACTTTAAGATAAATTTTGAAATGCCCCAGAGAATATTAAGTTGGTAACTTTGACTTAAACTTTTAACATAGGTATGAAAAAGATGTTCACCTTTTTAAAAGCAAAGTGGTCGACAGTGTTAAGGTGTGCACTTCTCGTTTGTTTGAACAACCTAAAATAGAAGACCCTTATGCTATTAGGTAAGTGGCACAATTGTGTGGATGAACTTTCCTTTGCAGTATGGACTTCCATTTTCAGGGTGGGCTTAAAATGAGGATTTTAAAGAAATGTGTATAATCTGCTAACCTACAGGCTTTATGTCTTGGTGTCAACTCAGTTTCCAACGGCTCTTACGGAAAAGCTTTACACTGTCTACACACTGTACCAATAGCAGGATATTTAGTCACTTTGGCTTCCTAAGGATCCTTGTAACATGCTCATTCATCCACATGGGACAACTTTTCATTTCGCAGCTTTAGCTGATACCCCCTGTTGACAAACAGATGTGAAAGGGAAACTGAGTAGTGTGAGTCCAGTGGGTCCTGCAGCACTTGATACTTGATCATGGGGAAGAACATCTTGAAAGAATTGGTGATTTGGCTCTTTGATGACATTAACACTGCTGAGGGCAGCACATTGTAACTAAGAGTTGTGGGATCAGCAGGTGGATCAGTTGGCTTTTGTACCTTTTAGCATTGGTGGCCCAGAGCAATTATTTAATTCTGCCTTGCTTTCTTCATCTTTAAATAACAATATTGCAGGCTTAAATATAAAAGGGATAGTTAAAATTTAGATAAGATAATTTAGATAAGATTTAAAACATATATATTGCTAACTGATAGGCTTAATTATTGCATAATAAAAGTTATACACATTTATAAAGCCATAACTTTTTAATACTTTTCTCTCAAGCTTTTCTCCATGGAATCCTTCTGTACATGATGAAGCCAGAGAGAAGATGCTGACTCAGAAAGTAAGTAGACAGCCATATTTGAAATGTTTAACTCATTGTTTCTTTTCTAAGATAATCTTCATGGTGCCCACTTATTATATACAATAAGTTCTGGGGAAACAAGTCTGTACAATGCTGATCACTCCTGTCTTTTTTTTTTTTTTTTATTATGTCCAGAAGCCTGAAGAACAGCACAATAAAAGTGTTCATGTTGCTGGCCTGTCATGGGTAAAGCCTGGCTCAGTACAGCCTTTCAGTAAAGAAGAAAAAACAGTAGCAACTTAAGAGATGATGAGTCTAGTGCACCATGCACTTTCCTGCTGGACTCTGGCCTAGTCAAAGCTGACTGATGGCAAAGGACTGCCTGAAGAGTAAACGGTGTGAACAATGACTGTTTATCAGTGTTTCCGACGTATGCATAGATTCTAACAGCAGGTTTCAGAAACTCTTTAAGTAATGCGTTACTTCTGTCAGAAGTGTCTTAGGGCGATTGTCTAGATCAGTACTCCAAATTATTGGGGATCTTGAGGGTCAAGTATTTTTCTGAATATAATGCTAAAGTTAAGTTGCATTCACTTACACTAATAGAGCAGACCGAAATCAGCACTATTTAATAGTTTTTAAATCAATGGTTTCAGTTGTACTTAGGATATGAAGAGGACAGGTATAGAGAGAGCAGATTACAGAGCTTAGCACTTTCAAGTGGAAGATTGTTTGAATTTCAGTCTCCAGCCTGTCTCACTGATTTACAAACTGCTGTCTCTGAGAAAAAGAGTGAGGAAACCAAAATGCTTGTTCATAGTTGGTTTTTCTTTTTAAAGCAAATTACTTACTGTATTTTTATGGCAGGAGGGAGGAAAAAGTGTTAAAACGGTTTCTAATGAAGTCAAATATTTAAATGATGAATGATTAATGTGTTTAGTAGAGACAAAATAAACCAATAAATGATTGTTCTTTGTCATTTATGTATGCAGGAAACTTAATACTGTTTCTCAATATAACTAAACAAAGACTAATTTATAAATGCTTTATTAAAAATACATTTATTTTCATATAAAATTACAGTAGCTGTAGCTTCAGAAATTTTATAAATATTTTTTGCAGAACACTATTCTAATTGAATAGTGTAAGTTCCATGTTTCTTTTAGAGCAATATGAAGTTACCTAGTAACTTTGTTTATACTGATTCAATTTACAGTTAAATTTTCTTCCTAATAAGATTATTAATTCAATTTCAAAACTGCTGGAACAATAATGATTAATAAAGGTATATATAGATAACTCAATAGCTGTTAAATAACATTTTCTAATTTATATAAATGGTACTATGTACTAATAAAGACCTAAATTCTTCCACTTATTTTTTAAACTGCCAGGAACCCACCCAAAGATACTTCACATGTCTTTTTTATACCTTCTAAAAAGGTCATAATTTTTCACATTAATCCCCTCAATTCAACCTGATTAAAAAAGCTTTACTTTGCCAGCTGATTCCTATATAACAACAAAAACTGGAGAATTTAAAACACATGCCCAGAGGGTAGCTACCAGGGCATTAACAGTTTTAAGAAAGTACAAAAGCATTAAAGAAAATATTGGCTGTTTAGCCTAGGAGTTTTGTACTTAAGAAACTTCAGATTGTAGAAAGTGCCGTCACAAATATACAGCAAAAATTGGGTTACAAAATCATGCATTTTACAGCCGTAAAGTGCTGCCACTTCTATAGGTTCATTCAGACATTGCACAGCTGAAGAATCAGCACTTTTCACACCACACCTCACCTACTAGGGAAACGGAAGTGCACAGAGGGAACAGGAGATAGACCAGTGACTTTGGACCTCCAAACCTAGGCTACCTCCTTCCTTCTGTTTTTGTGAAAGCAAAAAACTCAAACTCCTACCAAGTGTTTTAGGACAAAATACCTAAGTTTTGTCTTGCTTTAACAGCTAGAGCTGACCATGGAAAGGTAGGAATGAATGTGAAAGACAGTTCCTCTGTAAGAACATGTCAACAGAGTTCTCACATTTGAGTGCATTTGTTCTCTACAATATTTATAAAAGCTTTGCCAAACAGTTAGAGATTGGGGTTCTGAACAGTGTTGATGGTAAGCACTAACTGGTAGAGGAAAAGGCAGTTGGAGTGAATAAAAATATCCTAAGGACATTGGAAAGAGTAAGTACTCATAAAAAGCTCTTCCTGTTTCTAACAGGCTCTAAAAAAATGACTGGATTAAGGAAAAGGGCTCCATAATCTAGCATACATTAAATGGTGCTGCTAAATAGTTTGTGAAAAGACAAGTTTCAATACCAGAAACTAACCTCAGTGGGAACCTCGGTCATTAGCTACGTCTTGGAGACGGCGTAATAAGGCAGAATGATTTTCAGGACAAATTCTTTTTGCAGGCGATTCACTTCCATCTTCCAAAATAATCCCTCTCTTTTTGGTTGGAGTTTCTCCTGTCCGTATCATACTGTTAATTTCTCTCAGTCTCTATGATGGGGAAAAAATAATTAAAAACTTTAAAATGCACACAGCTCAGTATGTACTAAAGAATCTCAAATGAGTTCATCAATTTACCCGAACACCTTTACAGAGAAAGTGACATAATTCTGCATATCTCAGATGGCTGAGGATGATGACTGTTTAGGTAGGGCCAGAATATTTCCAGGCTTAACAAGGTTCACAGGTGATTTTGATACACACATTTATACAATGTGTGGGTTCACAGGTTGGTAGGTAGTTTTCATAATAGCTATATAACATCACACCCATCACTATAATTTAATCATTTAGATAACACACCCATCTTCCTTTTTTAAAAACTGCATGATTTTTTAGTACTATTATGCTCTTTTATTCAAGGTAGTGTTACTTGTGTTTTTAGCAACCCTTCTAAACTGGGATTTCATTAGAGAAATAAGCATTAATTTGCTAACACATTCACCATATGTAATAAATTATTACACTCTACAGTGATATTACCTAGTTATATGTTATCCTTGGGAGAACTGAAAAAGTTAATTATTTTATGAATTCTGTGGCTCACATGAGGAACCCCAGTGGAGAAAGCCTTTTCCAGAATACAAAGACTGAGCTCCTCAGTACCTTCAGCATCATGCTTTCTCCAGAGTCCCAAAAGTCTTTGCTCACATTTTCTTATAGCTCGTTGGTTAAAATTTTGATTTCATGTTCTACTTCGTTATCCATGCTTCCTCATAAAAATATTCATATATATTTAGTTAGGAAATTTCAAACATACAAAGGTTGAGAATCAGGTATAATGAATGCATGTGCTCATCACCCCATGTGAACAATTTTGGGAGTCTTACTGATCTATATACTCCATTTCCTAGCCCCTAAATTATTTTAAACATACTATAGATGTGTTTTGTTCATATTACTTGTCATTTTTGTTCTTTATTTTGAAATAGTAAACAACTCTTGGGTTTTAAGTAAAATCACCAATGCCTGGTTTTGTCAGCATATAGACTCTATAATCTTAATTGTCAGAAGAAAGCTTCCACTGGGGATGTAACTCAAGGGTAGAGCCCTTGCCTAGCATGCATGAGGCCTTGGGTCTAATCTCCAACATCACAAAAACTTCCTTTGACTTACTCTTCTACTTTGCCTTGCCATAAGTGTGGTCTCCATTTGCTGTCTCTCTAGTCTTTCAATGTTCCTTATATTATTCACTATGAATCTATTAATTGTTAATTGTATATTACAAAAAAATATGTATAGATAGATATAGATATGTACATCTGTATATAGCACATTGGGGTGTTTATTATGTATATACAATATTTTGCATGTAATTCATTTAAATATATACATAATAGTTTAAATTCATAAATTCCTAGTCCAGAAAAAAAAAAATCACAGCATGTGTCTAGATGCTAGCCACAATCCCCAGGGATACATAATAGTAGTAGTCTTCACTGAACAAAGGTTGGTTTGTATGTATCCTTCTGTGCTAATACTACTTTGATTGGTTGTTTTTTGTTTGTTTGTTTTTTAAATGGGATAGCTGGATAGGTAGGCCTATCTTTAATCCTAGCTCCTCAGGAGGCTGAGACAGGAACATTGTAAGTTAAAAGCAAGTGTGGACGACTTAACCAGACCCTTTCTTTAACAACGAAGAGGGCTGGGAATGTAGCCAAGTACCAGGCCCTGGGTTCAATACTCAGTACTGAAGAAAAAAGATAAACTTATGTTCTGTTTGGAGTATCTATACAGTCAACATTGTCTGAGGTCTTCCCTTATCAGCCTATGTGGGTCTATCAAGATCTCTAACTGCTCCAGTTATTATAGCATATCTCCATCACACACTTATCCCCAGTGATGTATTATTTCCTCCCAGCTGTTCAATTCCATAATCAATACTACCATAATTTGTTTTTCAACAAGCTGTATCAGTCCACTGAAATTGATCTTACAAGTGTCACTAATGGCAAGTCATCTTAATCATGTGTGATATACTTGATGATTCTTTTGTCATGGTGGTGTGAATATTAGTTTATGATAGGTTGGCTGTAGCCCCAAACCACTTTTCATTTTGTAAGAATCTCCTTGGTCTTAGCTATCACTTATTAAATCATGACAAATCCTCGTATGAGCAGTCCAGGGAACTGCTCATCATTTACTGGAGAAACTCACAACTCTGGCAGAAATTCTCCCAGGTGGCGATACTATAGAGGCAGGACTAAAACCCACTGACCTGGATGCTAGCAATTTATACACAAAGTATTTTAGTTCATGTATTTTATATCCTTACTGATTTTCTCTACCTATTCTATCAATTATGTTAAATATTTTGACTATGAACTTTGATTATATATCCTCACTATCATTAGGAAATGAATACCACTGATAATCTTTTCTCTGAAATCTTTTGATATTAATATAGCTACTCCAACTTTTGATTAGGGTTAGAATGGTATTAACTTTTCCATCCTTTAACCTGTGTGTGTGTGTATGTAGGTAGGGGGTACTGGGTATTGAATCTATGACCCTTTGCACTGAACTACTTCCCAGCCCTCCTTATGTTTTGAGACAAGGTCTCATTAAGTTGCCCAGGCTGGACTCAAATTCACAATCCTCCTGCTTCTACCTCCCAGAGTGCTGGGATTACAGGCATGTGCCATCATGCCTGGCACATTAACTTCTTAAAAAGCAGTGTTGACATTTAATCACAACATAATTCACTCACTTAAAATGTACGACTATATGGCTTTTGGTATGTTTCCTGAGTTAAGCAACCATCGCCACATTCAATTTTAGGACTCCTGTTACCCCAGAAAGTAACTTTTGCCAATTAGCAAAACTGTCTTCTAGGGCTGGGGATTTAGCTCAGTGGTTCGGTGGCCTGACTTGCAAGCACAAGGACCTGAGTTCAATCCCCGGTACCAAAACAAACAAACAAACAAACTGTCTTCTCCCCTAGGCAACCTATACTAACTTTTCTACCTCTATATATTTGCCACATTCTGGACATTTACATAAATGGGATCATATGATAGTCTTTTATGATTGGCTTCTTTCACTTAACACATAGATCCATCCACATTGAATCATTTATCAGTATTTCATTCCTTTTTATTGTCATCCAGTATTCCATTGTGTGGCTATATATTTATTCATCAGTTAATGGGTATTTGGATTGTCATCTTTTAAATTATTTGTGTCTATATTTAAAGCAAGCATACAGTTTGATCTTGATTTTTTTTTTTAATCCAAGGTGACAACTCTGTCTTTAAATTGGTGTATTCAGACCACTTATATTTTATTGCTATTAGTTTACTGTTTTTCCTTTTCTTTGAGACAGGGTCTTAGAATGTAATTCAGAGTGGCTATGTAGACCTGGCTGGCCTCTAACTCACCATCATCCTGCCCTCAGCTTCGGAAATGCATGAACTATAGATAATGTGCACTGCCACACCCGGCTCTTACCATCTTCTGAATTGAGTATTCCAGTTCATCTCTTTTGTCTAGTACCTATGTGCTTTTATATTTAGTCTTTTCTTGCTCTATGGTCAAACAACAATATAACCACATAGTGTTATGATACCTTTTTTCCATTTAATTCTTTAATCAATTTGCAGTTTAGTTATAGGTTAAGAGTTTAATTTTGTAGGACACATTAGCCATTTCCTCCCACTTCAATTGCTTTTGAGGAGTATTCTTGCCAGTTTGTTTTTAGGCTTTACAATTAATTTCACTGGGAAATATCACTGGAATTAAATTTATGTTAATAATTGGAAAAAATTCTGTCTTTTAATATTTAGGCTTTCTACTCAGAAACACTGGTATAGCTTCATTTATTCCAGTCTAAAAATTTCTAATTCAGCACTAGAGTGCTTGACTTTCTATGTTCAAGGCCCTGGCTTCAATCCCTAGTATCTCTCAATGTGTCAAAAAAAAAAAAAAAACTAATTTAGGTTAAATTACTATAAGATATTTGTTTCTTCTAAGACATGTAATAATTACTGTAGGAAAAGTTTTTTTTTTTTCAACAGATTTTTACTGCTCATTGTTTTCCTCAGCTTTTTATCCAAAAGATTCCAAGCCTACAGAAGAGTTCAAAGAATAGTACATTAAATTCCCATTTTCACGCATTAATGTTTTACTCTATTTATTCTTATATTTTTCTGGCTGAGCCCATCTGGAAATAAATTGTTGACACTGGGACATTTCATCTTTGAATACTTTAAGCACAGTCTCCACATAATTCAGTAGCATCAGTGCTAAAGAAATTTAAGAGAAATTTAATTTTTTCAAATCATCCCAATAATGTTCTGTGTAGTAGTGCTTTCCTATGCAAGATTCCAATCAAAGATCATGTCTCTCTCTATTCCCCTATGTGGTGGTACCTCCTCTATCTTCTACTGCTTCTAACCTTAACTGTCACAAGGAGATTTTCTTACCTGCCACTTCCTGGATGCACTCCTACTTTTCAGCCCTTTTTTTTTTTTTTTTTTTTTTTGTCCTAGGGATGGAACCCAGACTCTTTGTACTTAGCTATCTCTTCAGCCCTTTTTATTCTGAGACAGGGCCTAAGTTGCCCAGGGTGGCCTTGAATTTAGCAATCCTTATGTCTCAACCTCCTGAGTAACTAGGATTACAGGCATATACCACCGCACTCAGCTTACCAAGTTTCTAAGTTTTCAACTTTCACAGCCTGATTCAAGCTTCCCACCCTTCTTCTCAGGGTGAGGCAGATGCTACTAATAAACCTATGCTCTTATGATTATCACACTGCAATCTCCATTTCTCCCTTTAGATAAAAGAGTCCCCAGGACAGACACACTGCCTATCCCACAAACAGCAACCTGGTAATCTGTTTAGGGATCCAAATTTTCTGTTTCTTTGGTTAAATTTTACAAATAAAAACTACTAGTCCAGATTTACAGCAGAATGTCTAAAATGCACAAAAAGGAAATGAGGGAATAAAAGTAAAATTCCTTACCCTATTTCCAACTCTTTTGTTTTCAAAATATCACACCAACCAGCCCTGCTTTTTGCTTCATTGGGACTTAGTGGCCCCTGCTCCATAGTTTCCTACCACTCTAGTGTGTGCCTATGCTTAGCACAAAGCCTATTTCTACCATCCTAAAGCATTTTAGGAGTAAAGGCCAAAATTTATGTTAGTCTCACCTTTGATGGACTGTTGCTGAAGTAGTAAAAAATCTTTTCTCGAGGAGAAAGTGTCATTTCATTTTTATGTGGGGAAATGTAGACAGGATGATTTTGAGACAACTGTATTCGGCGAGGGGAGCCTGTTTTTACAAATGGATAGGGAGAGAGTGGAGGAGCATCCATCTGTTAAAAAGAAAAATTGGTCATTCTAAGAAAAAAATTTCTAAACAGGTATTTTTATTGAAAAATTAGTATTTTTTTAGTTAAGTGGTATGATAAACCAGTAGTTTTATGAAAGGTAAACGGTGATACACTGGCAACAATGATGAACCACCCCAAATCACACTAATAAAAAACATTAAGTGCTTAGTGTATGTCACTGTTTTAAGCATTTTCTAATATGTCATTTAATTCTCACTATAATCCTATCAGCTAGAAAACTACTGTCCCCATTTTCTACAGAAGAAATTGAGAAAGTTACTTTGCAGTGTCAAGAGTCTTAAGTTCTGAATGCCATGAACTAATGTAGCTGTCTCTGATACTACTACACTATACTTTGTAGGGGATCTAAATGTAACTTTACTCTTAATGCTCAGCAACATAGAAATTAGGTTATTAAGCAAGTTATTTTTGTGAGAAACTTCCTTAGTTTTACTTAAACATTTGTAAATCTAGTTTATATATAGTACATGACAAATATAATCGATTCCTCATTCCCTCAGGAATGAAATAATCTCTGTCAAACTTACTGTGTTTGCTTGTGAGTACTTTAGGGCAAATGTTTTGATTTGTTTTATGTAGATGTTGTTGTAGAACTGAATAAGGTCTCCTCTCTCTTCCTCCTCCATGTCACTGTTGGCACCTGTGAGACGAGTAGGTGTAGGAGGGGCACTGCTAGGCTGTGGAACTGGCAAGGTGCTGCTGGACCTCATGATGGGACTGGAGTCTCTACTGGCTGCAGCCGGTGGAAAAAGCATGTTAAGTCATAAAAACTTCCATACAGATTGTTTTAAAAAAGAATTCAGAAAGAAAAAGCAATCTGCACTACTTATCAATTGCAGTAAGTGGGCTTACTGCATCTTTATACGAAGTAGTCAAAGATCAGATAGGATATTAATAACTTCTATGCTATAATCAAAGCAAGGGTTTACTGAGTAGCTCCTATTAATAAGTTACACCATGTTTTCTGGGAGCTGAGCCCTGCACTCTGTACAGCAACTAGGGATAGCATTTCCTCAGTATGGCTCCAGCTGACATCCCAGCACTTTCTGGAACTCGGGCCAGCAGATTCCTGCCTGAACTCTGATTCCCCTGGAGAAAAATGTTATGCACTCTGTACCTCAAAGCTATGGAATGAAGGCCAGCTCTGCCACTAAATTTAGAATTGGATTTATTGCTCCAACAAAGCCTTTGCCAATAAACTACTTTATGTAGTGGTTCTTTCATTTAATAATGCATACTGGTCTAGGTCTTAAAAATTGTTTTTAAAGGTAACTGTTTTATAAGAATTCATAAAGATCTTGCTTACTTCTATCTTTATTTAGTTCTGTTGGAGAATTCTGATGGCTTCTGCTATCACTGCTGCCAGAATTTCTTCTTTTCCTTTTCCCTTTTATCAAAACACTTCTATATACCTTAAAAGAGAGAGAAGGTGACAGAAGCTAGTATTTACTGGACACATACTAGATAACAGGCTTTGACCTGCTACTGGATTCTTACAAAAATCTCATGTAGTAACAGTTTTCCTCCTCAGCAACCATTAAGAAATGCAGCCACCTCGCAAGCACAAGGGCCCGAGTTCGATCACCGGTACCAAAAAAAAGAAATGCAGCCAAAGTCATAAAAGCTATTGAATAACTGACCTAGGATTTACACTTGAGCCTATCTAGCTTTATGTACTACCCAAAATACTACAGGGCACTAGTAGTACCCAACCATACAGTCAAGTCAGATGCAAAGGTCCAGCATACTTGCCTTTAAGACAAAAGACATTCAAGTAAAGTGAATCTAAAATTTTAATTTAACGTTACCTTGGTTAAATGTACAGTATTGCATTTACTACACTGAAAAGTGACACAGAGCAAGAAATTATTTGTTAATGATGAAAGATTTAATCAGCAACTTATGTAAAGTCCTAGTTGTTTATTCTGGAAAAAAGTCTACAGGATTAACTGTGCTTAATTTTTTTGTATTCATCATAGACTTAAGCTCTGTTTTCATCCCTAAGAGAAAATGTAGTTACCTGGCTCCTGGCCTGGGGCTGAGTCCTATAACATCGCATGATATTCTGGAAGGACTTGTCATCTTTTGTTACCTGGCAAAAAATGGAGGATCAGTGATAAACTTCTAGCGTAATAGTGTGAGGCTTTCAGTGAACCTGCTCTCCACTGAAAGGGACAGAAATTAAATTTTATAAAAAACAGTGATTTAAATGGTCCTACAGACATAAAAAAATCAAGAACTATCTATTCAAGAAAATAAAGTTCAGTCAGAGCAGAGACCATAGTATGTGACCAAAGGCCTGAAGTAGAAAAATATAATGACTGAAATGAAAAATGTATCAAAGGAGGTAAACAGATTTGAGAAAAAAAAATTAGCAGTTGAATAAAGAGATTGCGTGAAGTGAAGAACAGAGTGAAAAAAAGCCTCAGAAATGAGGCTACCTTTAAGCATATGAACATATGTGTAAATGTTCAAAGAAAATCTGACAGCTCCCTAAGGTAATTTAAAGCAGTAATGTGTATACATTCAAAGGAAGCTCAACAAAAACTCCAAGTAGGAGAAGATCAAAGACATCTGTACCCACATAAACCATGGAAGAATGCTGAAGCCAAAGAAAAAATTTTTTTGGTACCAGGGATCAAACTCAGGACCTTGCACTTGCAAGACAGGCAGCAGAACCACTGAGCTAAATTGCCGGCCCAAAGAAAATCTTGAAAGCAAATAGAAAAATAACTTTTCATTTTCAGATAAATTACATAAGTTAACTCCTTGTCAGAAACTATATAAGCCAAGTATGTTTGTATATGAGGCACTGTTGGAACTATAACAGCAATATAATATGTAGAGGACATAAGGGAAGATATAATCAAAGTATGGCATATACATGTGTGAAAATGTTGCTAACCCATTAAATGATCCAATTAATATGTGCCAGTAAGTATAATTTTAAAGTATTGTATTTTGTATTTAAGTGTTTATTTAAAAGTATTTATAGTAAATAGTATTTATTATACAAAGCAATAGTAGTGTATTTGCCAAAAATAATGCAAAGGAGGTAGGGAGGTAGATAGGAGCAACACTGGATTGGGCAAAGAAAAGACTACAGATGGCAACTTGAATCACAGGAGTCATTAAAGGAAGCAAAAATGATAAAGTTAATATAACAAAAGCTATAAACATTCCTTTCAGCTCTTTTAAAAGTCATAAAGTTATAGGAAGTAGCAATAACAAGTATTTATGGATGGAACATGTGTAACAATACCACCACAAAAAAGGATGAAAGGACAATATAACACTTCTGTCTCTCAGTAGAATTAAGTTAGTGTCACTCTGAAGCTAGATCAAATACAAAGGAAATAAATTATTACTAAAATTCTACATTAAAAATGCAAAAGAAAGCTGCAAAAGAAAAATAAGACATAAAGTAAATTCACAGAAATACATCCACTTATATCAATAACATCACAATGAATGGATTAAAAAACCCATGTGGCAGGGCATGGTGGCATATGCCTGTATTTCTAGCACTAGGGAGGCTGAGGCAGGCTTGCTGCAAGTTCAAGGCCAGTCTGGACTACATAGTGATTCTAGGTCAACCTGAACTATATAGTGAGACCCTGTCTCAAAAAACCAAAATATTAAAATTAAAAAAATAACTTGTCTCAAGGTGGAACTGAGTATTCCACAATGGTGCTAAGACCATTCTGGGGCAACTGGAAAACTACATAAAAGACATTAGATTTCTATCTCATACCATATATAAAATTTACTCAAAATTGGTCAAAGATGTAACTGTAAGAGGTAAATACTAAAAAAAACTAGGGATAAAACTTTATGATATCAGATCTGGCAATGGATTGTTAGATATGACACCAGAAGGGTGAGCAACAAACCAGAAAGTATGGAATCAGACAATCAAAAACCTTTATGCTTCAAATGCTACTACCAAGTGAAAACACATGGAGAAATATTTTCAAATCATTATCTGGCAATTTGTATTCAGAATATATAAAGAACTCCAGCAGCTGGGCATGGTGGTGCATGCCTATAATCCCAGCAAGCAGGAGGATTTAGTCTGGGCTACACAGTGAGTTCCAGGACAGTCTGAACTAGATAGTGAGACCCTGTCTCAAAAAACAAAACAAAACAAAAACTCCAGCAATTCAAAAATAGATGAATAACCCAATTTAAAAAACAAGCAAAAGAAAAAAAATTTTAAAGATAAAAACAAGCAAAAGATTTAAACAGGAATTTTTTTCCAAACATACACAAATGGACACAAAGAAAATGAAACGATGATACGTCATTACGCAAATCCAAATTAAAACCACAATGACAGCACTTTACACTCACTAGAATCGGAAACTAACAAGACAGGGTGGGTGTGGTGGTGCACACCTGCAATCCCAGCTACTTGGGGGACTGAGCAGGAGGATTGCAAGGTGAAGGCCAGCTTGGCCAATTTAGCAATACCCTGTCCCCAAAATGTGCTGGGGATGTAGCTCAGTACAAGACCCTGGATTCTATCCCCAGTACCGCAAAGAAAAACAGAACACCCAACTCAGATAATAAAGCCAACAAAGCACCCATAAAAGATGTTCGATATCACTGGTCATTAAGCAAAAACACTAAAACCACAAGATGCCACTCAATTGTTAAAGCAATATGGCTACAACTTTAAAAAATGATTAACATGTGAACTAAGTTCACAAAAATAAAAAGAAATTGGAATACTACTGCATTACTGGTAGTAATGTAAATGATGATTCCTCAAAACATTATAGGAAGCATTACCATATGACCCTGTAGTTCCCCTCCTAGGTATAAACCCAAGAGAACTGAAAGCAAGCACCCAAACAAGCACATGTACACACATTCACAAAAGCCAAAGGCTGGAAATACCCCAGATGTCCACCAATGGATAAATGGACATACGGGCTGTGATATATCCACACAGTGGACTATCAGCCATAAAGAATGAAGTACATTACTGACATTGTGAAATGGGAAGAAAGGGGCTAAAGGTGTAGGGAAGGTGGGATGGGTAGGGGAAGGGTAATAAGGGAAAAGAAAAAAATGTGAGATAATGAAAAGATGGAAATAAAGTGTTTGTAGATGGGGAGGGGAGGAGGAGGTGAAGGGAAGGCAGGGACAAGGGGAAAAAATGAGAACCAAGACCTGTCACGTAGAGGTACAAGATCCCAACAATGAATGTAACTGTACTGTATCCCTAAAATGTACCAATAAACTCAAAGCTGAAAAAAATAAAAAAGAATGAAGTACATACTACACATGACTACACCTTGAAAATATCTTTATTGAAAGAAACCATAGTCAAAAGGTCACGTATTGTACCATCCCATTTATAAAAATATTTAGGATAAATCCATAAAGTCAATATAGATTACTGTTAGATAGGGGCTATGAGAAGAACAGGAAGAAACTACCAAACATACAAAGGGCTTTACTTTGCAAGGATAGAAATGTTTTGGAACTTGAAAGAGGTACTGAATATACAACACTGCAAATGTACTACATGCTCTTTAAAATTGTTTACTTTATGTTATGAGGGTTTCACCTCAATAAATTAATTTCTTTAAAAAGGTAAAATGTGTTGAGAAACGGGAGAATTTAAGACTGTCCTATGTTAGTTGTTGGAAATGTGACATGGTATAGTACTTTAGAAAATAGAGTGGCATACAAGAGCAAGAAGCAATTTAAATATGTTAAGGGACCATTTTCATCTTCAGAATTAAGAATTATTTTAATTTACATCATTGCCTTTTCTCTTTTACTTTCCTTTTTAGTTTTATTTTAGGATTCCCTATTTTTAATGTTCATACAGAGATTTCTTTAACTGAAATACCAAATAGTTTCTCTGGTGTGAAAAACTATAATAGTACACAGGATCCTAATGAGATAATTAATAATGTGAAATAGGAAGTAAAGGGCTAAAGGTGTAGGGAAAGTGGGAAGGGTGGGGGAAAGGTAATAAGGGAGAGGAAAAAAATATGAGAAACTGAAAAAATGGAAATAAAGTGTTTGTAAATGGGGAGGGGAGAAGGCGGTGAAGGGAAGGCAGGGACAAGGGGAAAAAATGAGAATCAAGACCTATTATGTAAAGGTACAGGATCCCAATAATAATAAATGTAACTGTATTGTACACCTAGATTGTACCAATAAACTCAATAAAAAGAAAAAAAATTAAATAGAAAAAAGAAAAAGAAAATAGAGTTGCAGTTCCTTAAACAGTTAAACATAGAATTACCAGTGATCTACAGATCCATTCCTCAATATATATATATATATATCCTAAAAAAATGAAAGCATATGTCTACACACAAATCTAATAGCGGTTGTTAGTCATAATAGCCAAGAAGCTGAAACAATTCTAATGTCCATCAACTGATGTATAGATAAAAATACTATACAAGGGAATGCTATATCCTAAGACACATTTAAACTGTACATTTTAAATAGATGGATTATATTTCAGTAAAGCTGTTTTAAAATGTTCTGAGTAAACCAGGTGTACTGGCACACATCTGTAATACCAGACTGAGGTGAATGAGGCAGGATGATCACAAGTTCAAACCCAGTCTGGGCAACGTAGGAAGGTCTTATCTCAAAATAAAATAGGGATGAGAGGGCTGGGGATTTAGCTTAGTGGTTCTGCCGCCTGCCAAGATCCCAAGTTCGATCCCTGATACCAAAACAAACAAACAAAAAAAGAAAATAGGGATGAGGATGTAACTCAGTGAAGGCCTGAGGTGCAATCCCCATTGCCATCAATAAAACAAAACAAAACAAAAACTATTCTGAGTAATGAAATAGCATCTTTGTTTTTGTCTTTTTATACCTGCACGGTACTCACCTTTGCCATGACATAAATGGCACACATTAACAACTGGTCCAGATGTCTGTCCATCATAAGTTCAGGACACTGAATCATGGAGAATTCAAAGCAGGTCCAGATTTTTTTCCTGAGTTCATCTGAAATATCCAGTTTAGCACAAAGATCCCGAAGGCGGACACCTGCTAAGTAGTAAACCTAACAGATAAACAAGAAAATTTCATACTTTGCTTAACAATTACTTCTCCAAGTTCATGATCTGTCAAAGTCATGTGAAAAGTTACCTTTCTAAAGAACAGTGATAGAGAGCTGGTCATCTTAGGTCTACTGCTGCTGCTGGTTAAAGCCTGGCCTTGTTTCTGTTGTTGTCCACCTGGGGAAATCTGTTGAATGGCCACTTGACTGGACAATTGCAAGGTTGTTCCTGTGACCTGTTGAGAACTCAGGCTTCCAGCCAGGGCCTGAGCACTGAGGGGCTGAATGGAGCTTGTCACAGCTTGTGCCTGCCCTCCGACGTTGACTTGGACTGGAAAGAACGTTATCCCTCCATTTTCATTGGCAATACCTACAGTTTGTTCCAGGGTGGGGAGGTTGTGCAGAAAATATGATCATGAGGCTCTCCTGGGATAAGTTTCCATCTCTCTCCTCCCAATTTCCCTCTCCCCATCACTCCATCCCATATCGTCAATTCAACCAAATCTTTGATGACTTTCCAATAAATGCCAGAGAACTCAATATCCAATTCTATCTGCCTTACCTTGTACAGGAATGGTCACTGTTTGTCCATTGTTGGCTGTGACAGTGGCTGTTGCCACAGTGACCAAGGTCTGTCCAGGAACTGGTGTGACAGAAACTGCCTCCCCAGATACACTCGGCACAGGGACAGCATTGACCAAGGGTTGTGGGGGAATGCGTCCAGGTGTTCCTCCATCAGAGGGGCTGTCATTCTCAAACAGCCGCCTTCTGGTAGTGCTGACTGTTGGGGAGCTGTATCTATCATATAGTGTAGTTGGAGATGTCATACCTAGGATCGAAACAGATTGTACAAACCATCTAACACCAGACAACATATCTGACCTCCTCCAAGGTCTTATGTTCAAAAATAAGTACGGTATTCGAAATAGTTCATGACTTAAAAAGCAAAGCACAGATTACAGATATATATGTAGTTCATAGTATACCTATATTCAACTAATGAATATTAAAATGAATACGGAGAGCAAATTTTTGTTATTTCTATTTGTCTCACAGTGCTGCTTTCTCCACTTGTCCTTGTTTTAGGCTTTGCTGTTGATTACTACAAGGACTTCATAACGTAGGAGCAATTTAAGGAATTATTCTAGAGCTGAGGATGTGGTTCAGTAGTAGCCTGCACTTGCCTAGTATGCTGAGGCCCTGCACCATAAAATAATAAATAAGGAATTATCCTATTTTTCTGCAATTGTTTTACCATGTTCAAATTCTAACTTCATGTATGATATTGTGTCCCTGTAAAACCACTATTTATAAGGAGACATAATGGTAGTAGAGTGGCACCTCAGTTCATGAACACTTTTGTTTGCAAAAAGCAAGCACTTGGCAAAATTTTGCTTTGTTTGCAAACTCTGCATTAAGTAACAAATGCGACTGTGGCCATTTTTCCCACACAAACACAAACAGGGCCAACTTTTCCAAAATTGTAGAACAAATTTTGTGAACCAAGGTACCACTATATATCACAGGGCAGCATTTTACTCTAGTTTTTAATGAAACTCTATCTTTGCCCTTTTCCACACAAAGAAAATTATTAAAATTCAATAATGTTCCTTAGCAAGGTAGACACACATGGTTTAAATTTAATTAATCTTAGTCTTTTTTTTGTTATTTATTTTTTTCCTCAGTAGCAGAAATCGAAATTAGGACCCTGCGCTTGGAAAGTATGCATGGCGCTACTGAGCTAAACAGATTCTTTTTGTTTTGTTTTGTTTTGTAGTACTGGAGATTGAACCAGGCCCTTTTTCATGCTAGGGAAGTGTTCATTTCACCCCTTTTTAAAATTTTTATTCTGAGCCAGGGATTTAACTCAGTGGTGCTGCCACCTGCCTTGCAAGTGCAAGGTCCCGAGTACAATCCCTGGTATCAAAAAAAAAAAAATTATTTTTGAGGCAAGATCTTGCTAAGTTGCCCAGGGTAACCTATGATCCTTTTGTTTTGGGCGGGGGTACCAGGGATTGAACTGACCTATGATCCTTTGCCTCAGCCTCCCAAGTACCTGGAATTATAGACGTATAGCACCATGCCCAGCCCATGGTTTTAAAAAACAGCTTTACTGACTGACATATAGTTCACTTATCTCACCCATCTAAGTTGTATAATTCAGTGGTGTTTGGTATAATACATTATTAATTCTTTAAAATTATGGTAATATACATATATCATAAAACTGGCCACTTTAACTTTGTTTGTTTGTTTTGTTGGTATCGGAGATCAAATTCAGGACCTTATGCTTGCGAGGCAGGCACAGTGCCACTGAACTAAATTCCCGGCCCTTAACCATTTTTAAGTGTATAACTCTGTAGCATCTATAAAATTGTGTAACCATTAACACTACCTATTTCCAAAACATTTTAATATTCCCAAAATAAAAACCAAGCAAGAAGTGTGCTTCATGCCTATAATCCTAGCTACTCCAAAGGCTGAGGCAAGAGGACCACAAGTTCCAGATCAGCTTGGGTAGCTGAGGATGTAGCTCAGGGCTCAAGACAAGACTCGACACACCAACACCACCC